GGATAAGTCATCACTAAAGATAGGCATATGAGTACAATACAATTGGCAAAAAAGAGCCGGAATATAATTATTTATACATATCCTTACATTTTTTTTTCCTTTTGACTCTGATTTGATGATCATATGTATTGCACTATTTTCCAGATACACTATGGTTCTGGGACATTAGAACAAGTGATTGGTTGGTGGTATTTGAAGGTTGCCTAACACTATTTAAGGCAACTAAGGTAACTTTCGACTTGTAATTTGATCTTGTGGTTAGAAAGTTAGGATGAGATGCAAATACTAGGTTTAGGTATTACCTCTACAGTAGGAAAACAAACTATATAGTAGAATAGCTCATTATTCGGGAAACAGATCTAATGTAGATAGAGGAACCCGTACTGATATCTGCTTTGAATGTAGCAATATTCTTTTTTCCCTTTTCTAGGGAATAAAGGTTATACCATTAGATTACTGACAGGATTCTTTTCAAGATGCACCTTATCAGCTATATACTTATTATATGTTGTGCCTCCCAATACATTAGCCTTGAATGCTTCTATTTTTAGGCACCTGTATAGACATAATAACGTATAATAGATCCGTGTTCTAAGTGGCATATTGCTAATAAAGCTCTAGAGCTAGTTCAGTCCTTTTAGCTGCCTGTAGACATGAGATAATTTATTTTTCCTTTCTAATGCACTGTTTCAGTAGTTGTGTTGTTCTTACCGTTGACCAGTCAAGAAGGTTCTTTATTTAGAACACTTCTCGATTTATTTCGACTGGGTGGATGTGACCCTTACAGACATTAATTCTATTATGGTATTTTTATTTATTGTCCCAGTAGATTGATAAAAAAATATCCAAAGAAAAGTATCAAATCGTATGTTCAATCACAGAAATATATTGATTTAAATGTCCAATACTACATTAATAGAAAGTCATTTAAAATTGAAATGTCAGATAAATATAATTTCATGAAAAGAGGACAAAAGTCACTGACACAAAAATATGTTGCATATAACTTTCTGTAGTATTTTAAAGAAAATAAAATATAATGGAAAAATATGAAAGATTTGTTTTTTGTGGATATTGCCCCTTTTTTCCACTCAGTCCCACCTTAAAGGACCACTATAGTGCCAGGAAAACATACTCGTTTTCCTGGCACTATAGTGCCCTGAGGGTGCCCCCACCCTCGGGGTCCCACTCACTCCGGGCTGGATGGCAAGGAAAGGGGTTAAACTTACCTTTTTTCCAGCGCCGTGTGGGGAGCTCCCTCCTCCTCTCCTCCTCTCCGCCTCCGATCCTCCTCTTTGGCTGAATGCGCATGCGTGGCAGGAGCTGCGCGCGCATTCAGCCAGTCTCATAGGAAAA